TTTCGGTACGGCAGATGGTTGCATCTGTAAGTACGAGATTCAGAGAATGTACATGTCACCGTTTCGGTACGGCAGATGGTTGCATCTGTAAGTACGAGATTCAGAGAGTGTACATTTATTGTACTGAGTTCTCTAAATTATTTTCTTTGAATACTATTTTTGTTTCCCTTTTAATGTTAGCTTCATTACCATACACTTGGCCTCAAGAAGTCTTCTAAGAGGAAGCACCATTTCGTCAACTTGGCTCCAAACAAACTGGCACTACTTTTTTAACAGTCAAACTCATCCGAGGAAATGCGCAATGATACTCATCTCGCCATCGTCAGTTGCAAATGTCTCTGTTGTTGTGACACATAAAATGGTCACTATCTTCTCCTCTGTGAATACAGTCAAGCTCAAACGAGGAACATTTGGAGTGTGTATTTGTTGAACACCAATAAAATCATATCATCGTCAAGGATGTCCTTTTTTTTTCCAGGTAGTACTTATGGATATCTAAGGCTATTTTTTTTCTAATTAGTACTTATGGATTTCTTGTGTAGCAGTTCTTGTGAGGTCATCTTTCACGACAAGATGAAACGTGACCAAATATTCAACAAACTCACGTTCCTGGCTGTGAATAACTCTTCTCATGACTTCCATAAAGAACGGTAATTTGAGTTCCATGAATCAAGATCAAAGCAGTAAGTCTTGCCAAATGCTCCGAGTATTGTTTAATTCAGTATAGGATTTTTTTTATCAATCTTATGGTTTCTTTTCAGTCGAGATTCTGAATTGTTTGTTCTTCTGAAATACTTCTAAATGATCTGATGACTTTTCATGTTGACTTAAGAATGGTTACAAGTATTTCTAGTCGTTTGACGACCGTAAAATGTTAGTTCTGCCAGCCAACTTGTAGCAGAAACAAAACACGAATATTGAAACCATTGTCTCGGGAGATTTGTTTTACACAGCCACTCTCTGAATCTCGTACTTACAGATGCAACCATCTGCCGTACCGAAACGGTGACATGTACACTCTCTGAATCTCGTACTTACAGATGCAACCATCTGCCGTACCGAAACGGTGACGGCCTTCGACTAGACTAAAAGAATATAAATCCACTACTATAATTCGCCATTGATATTTTGTGCTACAACATGATTCTTACTTAATACTAGAGCTATTCAAAGTTACGTGATGGAAAAGTGAATGGTGTTCGTGCACTCCGATATCAACTGGGAAAGGTCTAGGACACTCTGGTCTCCAATGCAGAAGACAGCTCTCTCATGGAACAAAGTCCAGTTCGGAAGTGAAAGCAATCGTTACCAAAATGCTGCTATGAAGTTTATATGGCTAGTTTTGTGATGTGATGAGACCAACTTTGGAATGAGTACATTTCGAGCTATTTCGCAATTGGAGAAAAGGAGCAACAACAACAAAAAACATTTCCAGGTCAGAGACCCCCAAAGTTCAGGCCTAGCCGTCCATGATTCTAAACTGCTGACCAGAGGAAGGGCAACCAGCCAACGACCCCCGTCGTTTACTTTTAACCAATTAGCGAGATTGTCACTTTTTTTAACAAACTCACAATTGAAAGTGTGAAACATGTTAAACAACTTATCACTAGTTCGAACCCTAGACCTTGTTATCCGCAGCCCAACACGTTAATCACTAGGCTTAACTCTCCCCAGGATATAAGGTGCTAAGGAAGAAATCAAAATAATATTGTTTTCAAAAGAGGATAGTTCATCCACAGCATAAAATATTTTGACTTTGCCCATCATCGTTCGTAGTGGTAAAACGAGCTTTTCCAAACTGCTTAAAACTTACCTGAGATTAGCTATGCGTGTGTGTTTCGTTATAGCGAAACCACATCGGGCTCTCTGCTATGTTCACCGAGGGGAATCGAACCCCTGATATAGTAGCGTTGCAAATCCAAAGACTTACCGCCTATCCACCGGGGAATTAATTGGTCTGGAACCAATTTTAAACCAGCACAAAATGACACAAAAATTGGGCTTAAAACAAGTATTGTATGATTTCACCTCATGGATAAAAAATTTCCGGTAGTTACTCATTTACTTATACTGTAATATTTCCTTAGTCTTTAATAAATGTGTTTTGTTTTTCTTTGTTTGTTTGTTGATAAGCACAAAGCTACACAATGGGTTACCTGTGCTGTACCCACCACAGGTATCGAAACCCGAATTTTAGCACTATAAGCCTTCTAACTTATCGCTGAACCACTGGGTAGGGGGAAGGATTAATATGATCGATAGCCCTGCTGTTTTCTCGCACAATTTAAAGTAAAGTTGGAGAGAGGGCAGACTGAAACTTTGCTAAGGGTGGTAAAATTTCCTACATAAGACCATCCGCTGCGAGGTAGTTTCAGAAGACAAGTAATAGCTGTTCAACTTACACTCTATTACGAAGCTGTATAGGTTATTTTATGAGAAATGCTATTTATTAAAACATCTTGCAAAACTTTATGAACGCGCATCATAAAGATGGAGCATATACAAGTTTAATGTGGAATAATGTATCCGCTAGTACTTCAACAAGCCTCCACCTGCAACAGATGTTAATCTGATAAACAGATTCTATCCTGAAAGGTCTCAGTAACCTTACACTCTAAACGACTGGTGGGGTGGGGGAGATATCTCAATTTATCTCCCCGATCTTTCGAGTCGAAACAACATAATCATACTTTAATGCTGAAATACTGTCTACTGCTACGTCACCAATCTTCCCAATCAGAAGGATCTATCTTCTGCTCTGAAATTCTAATCCACATCGCATAACCTTAATCTGGCAGTGAAATACTGTCCCTCGCAAATCTTATCAATCAGTCCCGTTTTGCGTTGGCAATCTTCGTTCTACCAAACCAAAGTTGCTGCAATTCTTCCACAATCCCTTTCTGCACGAGTATAAGCGCGCGCTGAAATACTGATTTTATTATAATCTAAACCAATGACCACAGAGTGAACATCGGGGAATTATTGACCGTAACTGTTTCACATCGAATTACTTTTGGTAACATGATCATTTTTCATGTTTCAAGCAGAATATCCATCAAGCAGTTTGTTTAATAATCATAAATAAAACTTGATTTAGTCTTTCAAACATGCTGAAAAAAAAAATGTGGCGTATGTTTGTCGAATGATTTGATAGATTTTAGAAATAAACAATCATGATGATTAAAGATCATTTAAGTTGTTTTTTTGTTTTTTTTTCACAAATTGCAGGTTTTACAGAAAGGAAGAATAAAAAAAAAGTACTTACAAAACAGTAAGAAACTCAAACGAAACTATTCGAGATAAAACCGTATTTATACGAATCAAGCAAACTACTAATCAGTAAGTAAACTCAAACGAAACTATTCGAGATAAAACAGTATTCATCCGAATCAAGCAAACTACTAATCAGTAAGTAAACTCAAACGAAACTATTCGAGATAAAACAGTATTCATCCGAATCAAGCAAACTATGATAAACTACTTTTATGAAGATGAAAACTTATGCAAATTTTGAACGCAGTACTGAATATCACAAAGTTGAAGTTATTTAGTCTACCGATAATACAAATAACCAAAGATCTCGTCACATACATTCCGTGTTTGCCACCAGGTGGCGCCAGAAGCTAGCCAGTAAAGCTTGGGAACGCAGAAGATTGTGACTACAACAGAGGCAGAAATATTTAAGTTGATTATCAATATGTATTTTTATTCCTACAACCTGTTGTAGAGGAATTTTTTTTTGTCTGCTTCTACCAATACACCTTACCTTTCCTTAGCCACAGAAAAAAAGGGGGGTTAAAATAAAAACTCGCATTAAAATGACCATATTGGCGAAATTGGAGATTGAAATGCTCCAATTGTTTAAGGGTTTCCTGTCCTTACCAGCACACCAACAAAATGTCAATAGAATAATTGATACGTAGGAAGGTTCTTTATGGACTCCAAACAGGTTGTTAGGTTTGTTTGTTTTTGAATTTCGCGCAAAGCTACACGAGGGCTATCTGCGCTAGCCGTCCCTAATTTAACAGTGAAAGACTACAGGGAAGGCAGCTAGCTAGTCATCACCACCCACCGCCAACTCTTGGGCTACTCTTTTACCAACGAATAGTGGGATTGACCGTCACATTATAACGCCCCCACGGCTGAAAGGGCGAGCATGTTTGGTGTGACAGGGATTCGAACCCGAAATAAATTAAATATGTCATTACATTAAAACAGGGGGAATCCCCCTGTGCAAAAAAAAATCCCCTGAAGTAAATTACTTTCTATTTTGTCGAATTTGAGTTTTAATTCATTCCCCCCAACTCCCCCCCCCCCCCACGCGGTGCAAAGATCCGGATTCAACACTGCATTTAAACTAGTAGTAAATACATTTTGTAACATGTCATCGAAACGTTTAAATTAGCCCCCCCCCCTTTTCCCCAAACCATAACAGTTTTTACTCTTGACAGTACGGCGTTGCTTCTGCTAGCAATAAATCTAAGACTAATTAAAATGATACGTACGGAATCACGTGCACGAGTCTGTTGAGTGAAAACACTCGCTACAGAACACAACACGTTGAGATTACCACCTTACCCTCCGCAAACCATTTTACCACTTATAATTATGTAATAACTTCTGCCAGAAGAGCCGCTAAAAAAAAAAGACACACGAACGTTTCTGGTAGAAACAACAACAGAAGTGTAAACTATTAGATTTGTCTTGCATTCATATTCGTCACAGACGTTTTACTGAACTAGTGGACTATTTCTCGTGAATATGTAGCCACTACTTTAAGATAAGTTATCAGTTTTACGTTCTACATTCTTCAAGAACGTAAAAAAAAAAAAAAAAAAAAAAAAATTCAAACTATTGTCTTAATTAAGAAATGTATGATAAATAAGACATTTTAAATAAAACGCTTGTTTTGCTCGCGCCTGGGCTTATCGGGCTCGTGCGAAGGTATCGGTTATGATAAATAAAATTAGCTCGAGGTTGAATAACAAAATTAGGCTTACCTGCGTCGTAGTTGGGCGATCACTCGTCGAGTCGGTGGTGTGACTGGAATAATGCGACTGTAACCTTCTTTCACGTGGCCTACTGTTCGAAGCCACGTGCTCGACATGCCAGCCTCCTAACCACAAATAAGAAACTACGTAAATCCACATCCAATGCTTCATTTTCCAACTACGTGAAAAGGAGATTGATATTCCAGCTTCCACAGTCTTTGAAGTCAACAAGTACGGTATGACCGTACTCACAGCTATCTAGTACGAATAGTCACGATTTCGTTTTACCCCCCTGGTCGCACAGACAAACGACCTCAAAATTACTCTATTGGCACGTGCATTTTGGGGCGTTTCATGACTGTATAACTACAAATTTAAATAAATTTACCTGTTAGTGAGTTGTTGTTGTTTTCAGTTTCGTTGCAGACCCACACAGTTTCAAGAAGAGTAAGTTACACTAATCTTATCTTTTTTTACCTCGACTGAAAACTCGATATGCTGAACGAGAAGATTGTAACAATTTGGTTGTTTGTTGAGCTGTGTATCTTATAACGCGAATTATCGAAACGAATCTATAACAACAACAAAAATATAAAAAAAAATAATCTGGGTCAGCCGGTTCCTTAGGATCACTATTGATGGTGAGGATTTTCGAACAAAAACCGGGAATCTTCTTCGGTCAGTTACCATTTCGTTCCCCCACCCCCACCCTTGAGAGGTAAGTCTGAAGGAGTATAACACTAAAAACTGGGTTTCGATAGCCGTTGTGGGCACAACACAGAAAAAAAAGATAGAGATTTCAGCGTTATCATATTGAACCGTAAGGCACGGAATATGTTTTATTCCATAATAAGTATCATTAAAATAATAGTATTCCAGTAAACGAACTCGGCATCTGCTTAACGAACGAGCTTGTTATAGTTTTAAAAATGTAAGTATCTGAAGTTTGTTTGTTTGTTTTTCCTTGCCAGCAATATGTTACAGTTTTGTAGCAACGAGTACGCAGTACATCCAGCAGTTGCCGACCGTGTGGAGTTGCACCAAGACGTGTGAATCAAACTTTATACAGCTACGTGTACGTGTGATAACTCTGTTAAATCAGTGGTATGGGATATCTTGTTCGTAAGCAGGGGCTCGTACAATGTATTATCAATCTCTGGACTTCCAAAACTTTATAGTACTCATTCATATCAGCTACTACCGAACAGAGCAAGCTCTCGAACGTGACTGGTTGTTTTGGAGCCCTGTATGCAGTCTTCTTTTTCATTCCCCACCCCCAACCACGCTTCTCCTCCCCTTAGAAAGAGAGCATAAATAGAGGCGGTATACGATTAACGAAGGCAGAGACACTCGGTATCCTAGATACAAACTTTCCTACTCGTGACACGTGACAGTGAAACATGCCTCGTGTGATATGAGATACGACGAGGTGGTGGCCCGCGTTGAAATTGAGAGTGTGTATCATGAGAAGGGTTTCAACTGAAATATTGTTCTAAACATTTCAAGTTCTAATACTGAGTTATGAGTTACGGTGCTTGATAACCCTACAGATTCATATATGTATATATAGATATATTGAATAATTGACAATAATTTTCTTAGATGTACTTCCGCAGGGTCCCCGAAAGTGTTTTGTTGTAACAAATATTTTTATTTCTTGCTTTTGAAGTTCATATGTCATGCTGTGTTGTAGCCTACAGAATACATAATTCTTCTCATGATTCGTGGCATGCGCACGTTTTACTGACGTCACGACAGTACAAATTGCAACGTTAAATATCCCTTATGTGACGTCATTTTAGTGTCTTTTGACTGATCGACAGACAACTCTATGGTGGTGCAACCCCATTCGGGGAAATTACTTGTTTAACTTCTCTATAACGTTTAGTTGGTTTGGAATTTCGCGCAAACTACACGAGGGTTATTTGCTTTAGCCGTCCCTAATTGAGCAGCGATAGACTAGAGAGAAGGAAGCTAGTCATCACCACCCGCCGCCAACTATTGGGCTACTCTTTTACCAACGAATAGTGGGATAGATCGTCACATCGGCTGAAAGGGCGAGTATGTTTTGTGGACGCGGATTCGAACCTGCGACCCTCAGATTGCGAGTCAAGCACCCTAACCACCTGGCCATGCCGGGCCCCAGTAAAGTCGTCTAGAAACATTTGTAGAAAGTTTAAGGTATTAACAAACTATAACTGAGATAATCTTACGTTTAAAGATAAAGCTATGTTGACGTTTTGTTTGATTGTTTCTTTTTAAGTGAACAGGTTGCAGAAAGATTAGTATTGTTGAAATATTTTATTAAAGTTGTATTTTATATTTTACTGACCGTCCCTTAAGAAATAGTGCTATAAATAGGGGGTGGGCGTGAGCCGCCCCTTTCTATTGTTTTGAGCTGTAGCACGCGATGGATGGATGAGGGTTAGATGGTTGTTGTTAAGTGCAAAGCTACTGAATGTGTATCTGTGATCTGCCCACCAGCAGTATCGAAACCAGATTTTTAGCGTCGTAAGCCTGCAGACTTACAGCTGAACCACTGAGGGGGTAGGGAGGGAATGTAACACACCACTTTTGTTTGGCTTCCGACCTCTTCGTTTGGTTGATCCCTCATTCGCGCCATTGTTTAAATCCAAACTGGTTTCCTTTATCAAGATTCATCGGAATTGGTTCAGCTAGTTCTTCACAAAAACTTGTGATACCAGACACGGTCAGACAGACAATTTCTTTATTTATTCGAGTTTAGTTATGATAATTTTAATCGATAGCGAATAACCACCTTTTGGTTCGAATTTACTTTTGATATGTTAAGCCTACTTTTTGAAGAGCCCCTTTGTAATAATGTTATTTTATATCTTTTTTTTTTTTTTTGACTGTTTAGTTGAACTCGTGCTTCGTTCAGCATAATTGGTTTTCTGTATTTCTGTAGAGAAATGTAAAAAACTTGTTCGGAACAAAAATTGACTACTTGGTCGTTTGTTTGTTTTTGAATTTCGCGTTTGAATTTCTGCGGATCGTGGGTTCGAATCCGCCTCCTCACCAAACATGCTCGCCCTTTCAACCGTGGGGGCGTTATAATGTGACGGTCAATCCCACTATTCGTTGGTAAAAGAGTAACTCGACTCGCAATCTGCGGGTCGCGGGTTCAAATCCCCGTCACACCAGACATGCTCGCCCTTTCATCCGTGGGGGCGTTATAATGTGACGCTCAGTCCCATTATTCGTTGGTAAAAGAGTAGCCCGAAAGTTAGCGGTGGGTGGTGTTGACTAGACGCCTTTCCTCTAGTCTATCACTGTTAAATTAGGGACGACTAACGCAGATAGCCCTATCGTGTAGCATTGCGAAATAGAACAAACCAAACCAATCAAAGCTAGGTTCGTATTGTTGTTATCTGTCGTTTCTTCCACATTTCTTTTGACCAGTGCTCGAAACGGAAACTTAGATGTTCGTCCAGCAACCCATGTTCACCCTCTGTGGAAAAATCGTACAGTCAGCGTTATTATAAACAGAATCATGACTTACGAGAAAGCTTTTTATTCTTCAGTCTGTTATCTTATAAAGGACTCCAAAGAACAGATAACAAATAAGCAATAGATAATTTTAAGGAACTAGAAATTACGCTGTCCCAAATCATCCCATTAGCCGCCAGACTGATATCACGCCTGCCGGATCGTTTGATTTCTTCGTCTCCGTCCGCCTTGAGCGACAAGAGGCGCCGACCCTTTCCCGACCAAGAACGAACGTAGCTGTTCCGTTCTGTATCTATCTACACCGTGAACACTGCGACGCCAAAAACTATTAAATACAGAAGTTTTTTCAAAAGAAATAGGCCTAGCAAAAAATATCTTTCTATTGTCTGATGTGTCGGTAAAGAACAAAAGTACGAGTGTTGCTGTAGATTATAAACCTTCTAAAAAAAAGTGCCGGTATACATGTGTACTTTTCTGTTTGTTTGTTTGAAATTAAGCGCAAAGCAACATGATGGGCTAACTGTGCTCTGCCCACCACGGGTATCGAAACCCGGATTCTAGCGTTGTAAGCCCGCAGACATACCGCTGTGCCACGGGAACTAAAGAAGAGTGTATAATTATATGTCAACCACACAATATCTGCTGTGATGTGACCAGGTGCCGAAGAGGCCTTTCGCCTAACATCATGGCTTTTTCTAGCCAGCTGAGAATGAAGAATCGGTACGGCGTGCCGTCGTGTACCGACCGGCTCATTTCTGCATTAAATCGACGCAAAAGAAACTTTTCACTTTTGGGAGAGAAAAACCAAAACATTTCTTAGAAATTAGAAGAAAAATAAAAAGCACGAATTTTATCATTGTATCACCTACAACAAGGCCTGACACTGCTTGGTCACTAGGGCACTCAACTAGCTATTTGGAGGTTGCGGGATCGAAACCCATGACTGAACATGCTCGTCCTTTCAGCTTTAAGGCGTTATAATGTGACGGCCAATTCCATTATTCGTTGGTAAAGACTAACTCAACATCTAGCGGTGGTTTGCGAAACCCATGACTGAACATGCTCGTCCTTTCAGCTTTAAGGCGTTATAATGTGACGGCCAATTCCATTATTCGTTGGTAAAGACTAACTCAACATCTAGCGGTGGTTTGCGAAACCCATGACTGAACATGCTCGTCCTTTCAGCTTTAAGGCGTTATAATATGACGGCCAATTCTATTATTCGTTGGTAAAGACTAACTCAACATCTAGCGGTGGTTGATGTTGACTATCTGCCTTCCCTCTATTGTATCGCTTTAAAATTAGAGACGGTTAAAGCAGATAGCCCTCGATTAGCTCTACGCGAAATTCAACAAAACAAACAAACGTACACAACCGTTAATATGTTTACAAGAACCATGTATTGTAAATAATGTGGAAATTATAATCACAGCTCCGACCGATACTATAACGAGTCCATTAACGCCAGGGTCCAGCAGCACCCCCGACTTGAACTACTGCGATAGCAGCGCACCTGCTGGCGACGTTAGAAGAAAAGCGTGTTGATTTACTTTTCAGTTTGTTTGCTTACAACGATTTATGGTACGTTCGTTATAAACACTGTATCAAGGACTTTGGTTTAAAAGTGTGTTTTTTTAACTTAAATACATAAAAAACGTGTTGATGTTGAGTTCGTTTTGATAACACGTTTTAACATAACAGCAGCCGAATGCGGGATTTCCATCATGTACAGGATTTACAGTTATCTTAGCCCGGCATGGCCAGGTGGTTAGGGCACTCGACTCGCAATCTGCGGGTCGCGGGTTCGAATCCCCGTCACACCAAACATGCTCGCCCTTTCAGCCGTGGGGGCGTTATAATATGACGGTCAATCCCACTATTCGTTGGAAAAAGAGTAGCCCAAGCGTTGGCGGTGGGTGGTGATGATTAGCTGCCTTCCCTCAAGTCTTACACTGCTAAATTAGGGACTGCTAGCGCAGATAGCCCTCGTGTAGCTTTGCGCGAGATTCAAAAACAAACAAACAAACAGTATCTAATACTATAAAAATTATTTGACTCAATGTCAT